GCAGCCAGGAAAGGGAGGGTGCACAGGCAGGACCCCAGGCTGGTGCAGTAGTTCCCCTGCTTTCCACAGTGATCCAGGCTGGGTAGCCCAGTGCCCTTTCCCTGCAGGATGGCGAGGTGATTGGGGTGAACACCATGAAGGTGACATCAGGMATCTCCTTTGCCATCCCCTCCGACCGGCTGCGAAAGTTTCTGCAAAAGGAGGAGCAGCGCAAGAGTGAGTGGAACCTCCCTGCTTGGGTGCTGGGGGAGGAGGGTGAGAGGAAAGCACTGGCACAGCTGGAATCTGGGCCCTTGTTCCCAAAAAAGGCAGGGAGAGCAGGAAAAGTTTTTGGGGTCTTACCTGGTGCCACACGAAAGCTGTGCTGCTGCCACCCTGCCCTGTCTGGTTTCTTGTGTCACTGGGGAGGGACATTCTCTGTCAAAAATGTGGCAAACCAGGGAAGCCAAGTCACAGTGCAAAATGCAACAATACCTGCAACACTTGTGCTGTTTCTGGGAGCTGAACTGAGCTGTTGTTGGGACTTGGAATGGCTCTGGGCACTGCCTGCCCTGAGGGCTGTGGGGGCTCAGCCCAGCACTGTTCTGAGTGTGTCTGTGCTTTTCAGCCATAACATTCCACGTCCTATCCTTCCACAGGCTCTTGGTTTGGCAATGCAGAGACAAAGCGCCGCTACATCGGGGTGATGATGCTGACCCTCACTCCCAGGTACCTGTCCTGAGGTCAGGAACCAACAGACTGGTCCTGTTGGGGCAGGGATGGGATGGGATCTTCCCAACTAACCGARGGTGCCTGGTTTTGGGAGGATTATCTCCCCAATTTAAGCTTTCACTCCCAAACTCTTTGTGTTCATGTTGTGGTTAGTCTCCAGGCTGGCTCAGGGATAGATTGGAAACTTGTGAGTTTCTATACTGGTAGCAGATTAAAATTGCTCTCCCTGACATGAGGGTGGAGCCAGGTGGAGGTCAGGCTCTGGTCCCAGGGAACAAGGGACTGGACAAGAGGAAACTGCCTCAGGTTGTGTCAGGGGAGGTTCAGGTTGGGTATTGGGAAAATTCCTTCTTGGAAAGGGCTGCCCAGGACAGTGGCGAAGTTCCCATCCCTGGGGGGATTTAACAGCCATGTGGCACTTGGGGACATGGTCAGTGGTGGCTTTGGCAGTACTTAAAGATCTTTTCCAACCCAAACAATTCTGTGATTCCATGAAGTTCCTGTGCAGGACCTGCAGTTTCACCGCTGGGAGCAATTCTCAAGGACAACACCTGCTCAGGTTCTTTGGCTCTTGCAGCCACCTGCAAGGGACTTTCAGCTGCYTCCTGGAGCTCAGCACATTTTTGGGGCTGGTGTTGTGCCATGCTGAGCAAACACCTCTCGGGACTGTGCTCTGTCCTCCTAAAAGGCTGATGGGTTCCCCAGTGCCCAGCAGATGGTGCTGGTACTCGGCAGAACCCGAGGGATGTGGGATGTGCCCAGCCTCCTCCTGCCTCCCTGGCCGCGCTTTCGGGACAGGGTCTGTCAGGAAAAAGCGTGAAATTCCTCGGACACGGCTCCTGGGAAGCAGCTCCAGCTTCTACACAGCCCTGAGCTGGTTCAGCGAAACCACCTGACTGCTTTGTGCCCAGCAGGAAGGGCCCCCAACAAGGGATTGCTCGCCTTGGAATCGGGTGGAAAGGCCAGAACCTTCCCCTGGTGCAGGAAGGAGAAGCTCTGTGTTGGGCACAAGCTCAGGCAAAGGCCCCGTTGTTCTGTCAGTGGGGCAGGACAAGGGGTAATGGGCACAGACATATGTGAGGGTCCACAAGAAATCCCTTTTTTACTGTGAGAAGGATAGTCAGGGCATGGCAAATGTTGCCTAAAGGATCTCAGAGATGCTCAAAACCCGACTGGACACAGTCCAGAGCAGCCTGCCCTGKTTGTGCCTGCTGGGGGTCAGGTGAGATGGTCTCCAGAGGCCCCTTCCCACCTTTGCTGTGTGAAATTGGGGAGGGATGGCAGCTTGAACTGGGCTGTGGACAGCAGTGTAGAGTTCAGCACGAATCACTGCCATGTGCAGAGCCCTGACTGGCTGAGCAGAGACCTGACAGAAGAGCTGAGCAGGACTGAGTGTGTGGGTCTGCAGGGTTCTGAGCTGATGCAGTGTTTGAGGGAAGAATGCTGTCACTCTGGAGAAATCCAGCTGGAGTGCTGCATCCACTTCTGGATTTCGTTCAAGAAGGGTGAGGAGCAGTTGGGGAGAGTCCAAATAGGAGCTGTGAGAGATGCAGAATTTAAATTTGGTTTAGAAAACCTAAAATCTGTGGGAAAGTTGGAGAAACTGTGATTGTTTAGTCTCTACACTCAGCAGAAGAGCTCTGGTGACACGTCTGGCAGGAAGAGGGGCACAGCCTGTGCTGTATGTCCTGCCCACCCGGGGCAGAGAAGTGACACCACAGCAGGAGAGGGGGTGGATCTGACCCYGGGAAGGGTGATGTGACGTGGGGATGTGCATCACCACAGCTCTGATCCAACTGGCAGCCACTCAGGGGGTTTCCAGCTCTCCCTGGCGGCATTGGGATTCTCATCCTCTGGTTTTGACAGGAGGATGGGAGTGTTTGGGGCTGGCAGCTGTGGTTTGTGCTCAACAGGGTGCAGGGATGCAGGAGGGGAGGTCTCTGGTCTCTGAGCCTGTGCAGCTGCAGGGAGTGGAGTGAGAGCTCTGCTCTGCCTCCAGCTCCATCCCTGATGCCGGTGTTCACTCTGCAGCATCCTGGCAGAGCTGAAGCTGCGTGACCCCACCTTTCCTGACGTCTCCTACGGCGTGCTGATCCACAAGGTGATCATCGGCTCCCCGGCACACCAGTAAGTGCTGCCCTAYGCCTCAGGGGTGCTTGAGGGAGGAGCTGTGGGATCTTTTAGCACTGAGTGTTTTGCCCCAGAGCAGCAGGGCTTGAGCTCTGCAGCAGAAACCACCTGGGGACCTTTTCCCACGCTGGGTATCCCGTTGGCTGAGGTAGCAGCGTGGCTGTAGAACAGCCAGTGCCACAGCCCAAGGCTCCTGCGGCACTGGCCCTCCATCCTTTGGGACAATGACCCTGAGTGTCTGCCTCACCCTCTGAGTGCTTCATCCACGTTCTCCCCGCAGGGCAGGGCTGAAGGCTGGGGACGTGGTGCTGGAGATCAACGGGACGGTGTCGCGGCGCGCCGAGGACGTGTACGAGGCRGTGCGGACGCAGCAGAGCCTGGCGCTGCTGGTGCGGCGTGGYTACGACACTCTGCTGGTCAGCGTCGTCCCCGAGGTCACTGAGTAGCAGAGACCACTCTGTGCTGGCCCAGAGCTGAGGGCAGGACTGAGCTGTGTCCGTGCTGGCCAGGCAGGGACRGAGAGCTCGTGCAGGGCTGGAAGGGGCCAGGAGAGGGGCCTGTGCTTGGGGGATTTGTGGTGCGGCCGTTCCCCTCTGTACTCGAATAAAGCACTTTTCTAGCGGCCCCCACGGCCACATCGCCTCCTTCCCGTGGCAGCAGCAGTTGCTTGATGGAGGCTGGGCTGTGTGGGACCCTGTTCCTCCTGTGGGTCTCCACATGAGATCTTGCAGCTGGGGAGGAGCTGGCTGTGTCTCCAGGGATTTCACTGGTGTTCGTGGTGTCCTGCCACCTGCTTGGTATCCACATGGGTTGGGATCCAACTTCTCTGAGTGCCTGGCAGGCAGCTGTTGAGCCATGGATTATGTGGACCCTCTGGGTGAGAGCAGCCTTGGAGTGGGTCTGGGACCAGCGTTGCCTTCCTGGAGTGCAGCAGCACTGCTGTGCTGTGGCTGTCTGGTCACTTTGCTTCCACTGTGGCTTCTGCTTCTGCTCCAAGCTCTTGTGTCCACATCCCCTCCTATGCAGCAAGGGGGTGTGGTGGTGAGGCTTTGCTGAAGTTGGTGTCAATATTGGACTGGTGATGTCCAGGAGGGCTCAGGATGGGAGCTGGAGTCAGGGCTGGGGCTCTGCCTGTCCTGCCCCCGGCTCGCTGTCAGTGCTGGAACTCTGCTCTCACACACACACACACGGTCCCTGGGGACAGCTGGGGCCATCCCTGTGCTCTGCAGCTGCCGGCCGAGTGCCTTGGGGGAAGGAATTGCTCTGACTGTTCCTCTCCTTCCTGGAAGAGCCGCYGCTGGGGCGGGAGCAGGAATGCGGCTGTGGGGCCCGGCCCTGCCCGTGCCGGCGCTCCCGAGATGTCGCTTCTGGGAGATGAAAGAAGCACAGTTCCTCGGGGTGTTGCGGCGAGGGGCGGCTCTGTCCGGCTCCCCCCTTGCTCGCCCTGCCCTGAGAACAGGCCTCCTTTCAGCAGCCCTGGCCTCGCCGGAGGAATTCGCCGTCCCAGCTCGGGGGAAATCGCGGCGTGTCTGGCATAGCTGCTCCGGCTGCGCTGACCGCAGCGTTCCAGGGCTGAGCCAAAGCCTGTCCTCTGCTCCTCCCGGGCTGGGGGCAGCTCCCGGGATCCCCGGAATGGGGCAGGGGATGGGGGTCAGTGCCCAGCTGGCCTCCCTCGGCCCTTGTGCCACCTCCGAGTGTCCCTGCCCAGCATCTCGGGTGTTCCCACACCAATCGAGGCAGCCGCTCTCTGCTGTGACACCAGAATTCTTGTGGGTTACAGCCCCGTGGACACCAATCCTTGAGTGTCACAGCCCCAGGGTGGGATTTCTGCTGGGTAACATCTGCCCTGGATCTGGTGCAGGGGAAGGAGTTCTTCACCACATCCTGGCTGTATTGAGCGGCCCCTCAGTTTTCCCCCGTTTCGGTGCCATGGGGCTGCTGTTGGTCCCTTTGTGGCCCAGAGAACCAGCCCTGGTTAAGGGGGTGCAGCCTGGCTGTGGGGCTGCTGTGGGGTCAGGGTGTGGGTATGGGATTGTAGGGACCAGGGGATGCTCCCACCCTGTGCCAGAGCATGGTGATCAGCCCTGCAGCATGAACTGTGCCACCAGCCCCTGCCAGGCTCCTCATCCCAACCCAGACACATGCCAGCAGCCATTGGGAAATAGAACTTACAACTTTATAGAGGAAATAAAATTACAACTGAGACATGGGGTAGGAGTCACCCCTGGGCAGCGCTTGTGGGCAGGGATACCTGCAACCATCCCTGGGGGACCAGGGTCCTGAGGACCTGTGTGGGTGTGGGTCCTGGGGCCAGCTGAAGGGATGTAGGGGGGTTGTAGGGTGAGAGGAACCAGGGAGAGTGGGAGATGGGGTGCAGCTGGAATGGGAGGGATGGAGCAGTGAGGGGTGCAGGACCTCCCGGGCCGTACCCGTGTGCCACAGCCCAGGGAATGTGGGCACGGCCTGCTGGCCAGTGGTTGGGGTGGCAGCCCCAGGCTGGGAGGTGCAGGTGTCGGTGCCTCCAGCACCAGCCCCCCYGAGGTGGGGAAAGGCAGCCGGTGGCGAGTCCTGGGCAGTCCCCGGCAGGACACGGTGACAGCAGCGCCGGGCATGAGGCCTCCCCGCCGGTCCCCCAGCGGCTTCCTCCCATCCGTATGGGGTGAGGGAGGGAGATGCCCGTCTCCCCAGGGCCGGGGCCCTATGAGATCTGGTTGTTGAGCTGACCTGGGTACTGCTCAAACCGCCTGTTGGCCTCCTCACTAAGCGCATCTCCTGCGGGCAGAGGGTGAAACCGTTGGCTCCGGTGCTGTGTGTCCTCTGTCCCCTGCCCTGCCAGCACCTCCCRCTACAGCTGTCCCAGGACTCACCATGCCAGCCCATCCTCATCCTCTCGGCTTTTTGCAGCCCTGTCCCTGCCCTCCTCCCTCGCCCCTGTGCCCTTACCGATGTGGCAGCTGTGCACCCAGACRCGGTGCCCGTCGTACTTGCAGTTGCATTTCATGGCATTGTTGGTGAAGTCGCTTTCTGCCACCTCGAAGTTGGGGTTGATCACCACCTGKGGAGCASTGACAGTGAGAGCCCTGCCCCAGCCATGCAGGACGTGTCTCCCCAGCTGTGCTGGGTGTGCTGGAGGACGCCAAAGTGCCAGTGGGTGCTGATGTGGTGGGGTGGCTCTGTGCCCATGAGCATGCAGAGGTAGAAAACCCATGTGGAAGGATATCTGAGCAGCCCTGGGACAGGCACTGTCCCATACCAGCATACCCACCAGCCCCACCAAGCTCCAGTGGGARGCAGGGATGGGTGGCTGGGGTGTGTGGAGAGCTGAGGTGCAGGGACAGAGGGTGGCAGGGTGGCAGGAGGGGCTGGAGAGGGTCAGGTGCAGCACCTGCAGGATGTAGTTGCCTGGCTTGACATCAGTGATGTCGATCCACTGGCAGTCGATGTCGTGCCGGTACAGGTCCCAGCAGCCCACAGTGATGCCCTGCTCCCCGAAGTTGGCACACTCGTACCTCTTGGCCACGTCTGCAGGCAGGAGGAGGCACAGCTTGTCCCTGCTGAGACCCCCAGCCTGGYCCYGTGAYRGGGACACRGGCAGGGAYGGTGCTGSAGGGCCCYGCAKCACCCACCTTCCTCRCACTCGGTGTCCTCCAGGCAGAAGCTGGCCTTGTGTCCCTCGGCCACCTTGGTGCCATTGGGGGTCAGGATGTCGTAGTGGGTGAAGATGTCCATGCTGTGGTAGTGCCTGTAGGAGGGAGCCAGTGCCTGCTGCAGACTCGCCCTGCCCGAGCCCTGGCCACCTCCCCAGGAACATCCCCACAGCCCCTGCTCTGAGGCTGCAGTGCTGTGAAGTTGGGCAGAGCCCTGGGAGGGGACAAAGCTGTCCCCAGTCACATGGCCCAGGTGAGCAGAGGGCTCAGCTGCAGGGTGCAGCCTCCATCCCTGCCCTCCTGGAGCCCCCAGCCCCAACTCTGCTCATCCAGGGACAGCYCTAAGTCAAACCAGGCAAAATTGGACCCTGGGCAGCAGATTGAACCTGATCTACGATCACCCTCACCCAGTGTCACCCTCACTCAGTGTCATATTTGCACAGTGTCACCCTCTTTCAGCATCAGCCCTGCCCAGCACCCCCCCTCACCCAGTGTCACCCTCACCAGCCCATCACAGCAGCACCATCACCCTCTCCCCACCCTGTCCTCTGTCCCCATCTGTCCCCTGCCCGCACGCACCGGTGGCACTCGTGCCAGACCCAGGAGTGGCGGCCGGCCTTGGGGCGGAAGTCGGCGCGGCCGCGGTTGTGGATCTGGGAGGAGAAGCGCAGCAGGCGGCGGTGGCCGTAGGGCCAGTTGGCCTGGCGGGCCGAGCTGGCCAGGCAGTTCTCCTCGGCGGCGCAGTACAGCATGTGCAGCGGCCGGTCCTCGATGTACGCCGTCTCCTGCACCAGCGGCGCGTGCAGCAGCAGGTCGGAGGCGGCTGGGGACAGGGGGCTGCTCAGGGACAGAGCCAGCGCTCGGCAGGGACGGGGCGAGTGGAGGGGACGGGGTGGCACCCAGTGCTGGCAGGGCTCAGCCAGCCAAAGGGGGAACGTGTGCCCTCCCCGTCAGCTGGGCACTGGCTGACCCTGTGGCCCCTCCATCTGCAAACCCCACTGCCTGCAGCCCCTGGCCCCACAAC